CGTCCCCACCCCCCACCTGCCGGGCGCCAGGGCTGTGCAGCTGGAGGAGCAGGAAGAGGAAGGAGGGAAGAGAAGAGTTTCTTCAGGAAAAGGGAGAAGGCCCAGGAGCGCTGGTCAGAGCAGAGCCCGGTGGAGAGGAGATCACTCAGAGCAGAGCAGGCAGCAGGAGAGACAGACCGCGGTGCGGAGCTAAGGGGAAGCGCGTCCTCGAGGCCAAGCCGCACTGACCTCGTCTCCCTCCGGCTGCAGGCAGCTCCCAGCCGGGCAGATGGCGTCTTCGTCCTCCGAGTCCTCCTGCTCCGAGGAGGAGGTGTCCGAGGGCAGGGAGTGGGTGTCGGCGGGGCGGACGGGCGCGTAGCCGCGCTCGCTCTCTAATGGGAAAGTGTCCGTGTCCTGGGGGGGGCCCAGTCTGATCCTCTTCCTCCCGGGGGCCCACACTTTCCGCACCCGGCCCCAGCGCTCGCCGGCGAGGTCGGCTCTCTCGGGGCGGCGCTTCAGCTTCCTCTCCAGGCTGCTGCTTCCCTCTCGCTTCGCCCGGCAGCAGTCGCTCTGGGGGGAGACAAGCAAACTCCGTTCAGCCTCCAGTCTGCCCACAACGGAAGCCAGCGAGGCCGAGGGTTCTCCGTGAGAAGCCCAGGAGCCCCATCAACCTGAGAAACACGGCGCCTGGACCCCCACATCACCCCTTCCCGGGTCCCGCAGGACGGCAGCCTCCTGCTAGTGCCTCAGAGGTCAGACACGCCTGACCCCCGGGTGACCACCCGCACGGGCGGTGGGCACCGCCTCCCTCCTTCCTTCAGTGGCAGCCGGAGGCGGGACTGAGTGCAGAGCCTGGCCCTGGCCCCGGCTCCTAGGGAACCAGCCAGCACCCCCTCCTGTAAGGACGGGCCTCCACCCGCAGACGCGCAGGGGCACACGGCCGCAACCAATGGCGCCACAGGTACCGCAGCAGCAGCCTCTGCTCAGGAGACACCCCGATCCCACCGCATTCCAGGCCAAGGGTTACGTGTCAGTGAGAGCAGGGCAGGGGGACGCAGCCCCTGAACCAGGCCAGGCCAGTGTCCCCCTCGTTTGGTCAGCACTCCACACGGACCCGTCTCCCCCGTCCCCCGCCAGCTGCCTCGCAAGGTTAGAGGAGCGAAGCAGGTGTTAAACAGCGACTCGGGGGATATCTGAGTTTGGAAGGTTCTCTCAACAGGCCTTCCCACTGGGACTGCACGCGTCTCTACTGTGTCTCTTACAGGAGAGAAATAACCTGCTTCCAGCTTCTTTACACGGAAATGGAAGAAGCACCTTTTGTGAAAAAAATCCAGAGACTCGAGCAGGACCAGACCCGGGCGGGGAGCCCAGGGGGTGCCCGGCAGCCCTGCTCCCTGCAGACACCTGCCCTCCCAGACGAAAGGCCCCTCCGTCCA